CGTGAGAACGTCAGACAGGCTGATTTACAGTAGCATTTTGCACGCGATTTTTCCCCCGGCGGAAGGATGTCAACGTAGTGACGGTAGCGCCGATATCTATTTCCAACGATTGTCGCGACGTCGACTTCGATCTTTCGATCTGACATGCCCCATTCGATTGTATCCATCACGTTGGACGTCTTGTCACGTTATCAACTGCTAACGATTCGATCGAATTAAAAGTGTCGGCTTCTCTGACGAAACAGGGACGTATTCGACGCGTAATAAATTTCCATGCAGATCTCGTAACCGAAGCTCGAATTGAAAACCGATTCACCTCTCATAATAGGCACTGTTCCGCAACAGGTTCCCTGTAAATTTCACGTGACATCTTCCGTTTACGATCTACACGAGAAAGAGAGAGAGAGAGAGAGAGAGCTGCTAGCGATCGTACCGCGGCGAGTGTTTGATTTGACGGCGATTTACGTCGATAAATAATTGAGCAGATAATGGATGTTCGCGACGGAAGCAGTATTGAACGTATCGCTTACCGCCACTGGCATTTGTGCTTTTCTGCTTCCGCGGAACTCCAGCGGATCGGTAAATAATTGAACGGTTCTAGCCACTATGTATCGCTCTTGTTAGTATGTAGTTTATCGCTGCAAGTGTTCTACCACCTTTACTCTTGGCGGAAAGTTGAACAGTTTTGCATAGAGAAATTTCCTTACTTTTTTCAACGTTAGGTTTGCGGACATTTCTCACGTGACACGCGCCAGATAGACGAGTGAACGAAACCGCATATTTTCTTTAAAACTTATTTTATTTCAAAATAACACATACACTATTAACTTATAAATGAAACTGTGTGATATTATATGTTTGTGTGAAATTTATGATAAGTGGTAGGAGAGAAATGTATACGATTCTTTTGATATCCCTTGTGAAATTCGAAATGCGTCAAGTGTTGATATCATTTCACATCATTTTTGTTATATTACTGTATTTATTTGGTTCATTGATACACTATTTTCCACGCGTTTCTGCATGATTTAATTGCACACGCGATTCTTCGTTAATTCGCGCTTTACTCGGAAGAATTTGTAATATACGCGAGAGATATTGCAATTTTATTTATTCGATACAAATGAAATATTATTACATCGATTTCTCGTAAAACGCAATTAAAACAGCCTCTATTGAACGGTACGCAGCAGCATACAAAACAACCTCGATCAATTTTTCATCGCGAACATGGACGTATCGGCGGATATGTTAATTAGCCTTCGAATAATTAAACTTATCTCTGAAAGCTTCCTCTATTCAACCTTCCTGTACTTGCCTCTCTTATTTCAAAACTTTCACCGTCGTAAATCAATAAGCCAGTTGTCTGACATCGGCCGAGGCAAATTCAACAATCCGTTTCCGTTTACACGAAACATTCCCTTTGTTTCATCACGATGGAAACAATGTACCGCGTTATGTTATCCATTGTGGAACATTTTCTGCTTTTTCTGTTTTCTTTTTTTTTTTTCGAAACACCGTGATAAATCGACATTTAAATCGAACGTTTCCAGTTCAGGTTCACACGGTTCGCCGCAAAACCGTTTATTGTTGTTATTATTACCATTATCGTCATTGCTGTACGCGCAATCTGATTGCGTTAGAGGCTTGCGGTGACAGCTGCGAGGGCGTTTATGGCAGTTCGTGGCCGCGGATGTTGTCGCATAGTTGAGATTCTCCCTCGATTTACCATAAATTTCGCGAGATTGTCTTCGACTGTAGTCCCGTTTGCCTAACACAAGCCTTGGGAGATAACGTGGATAGATAAAATTCTTTTTGGGATTTTCTTGAATAATATACGAAGTCGAACGTCGATTAACATTGGCATTGTCTTGCTCGTGTGAACGTGAAATTTAATTTAATTTTGCAGTTGGTTGATAACGTTGAAAGGTAGATTCAAAGGGTTGATAAAACGAGGATAGAAGTTTATATTAAATGTTAAAGTTAGATTTCATATTTTTGGATCAGTAGCGAACGAGTTTAATTATTCATTTTCGAATTAGCTATTGCTTTATTATAGATTTGATAATTTTAAAGGTTCGGAGATTTAACAGCGAGTATAAATAATGTTTTTAAATTGAGACTTTTTCGAAATGAAAGAAATCCTTTTTAAAAATTCGCGGATTTTACGTTTTTGAAAATTGGAAGATAACGTAGGAGAAGGGAAAACGCGTCATAATTTCACACAATTCCAGAGCGTTCTAATGGCCGGAGCAAAGGGGAAATACGATAGATGTATCGTTTGAATGGGATAAATGCATTGTTCAAAACTAGAATCGCATTTCCGTGCGATTTCGCGGAGTGAATCCCAATTTCAGGATAATTCCTGCGTTATTTCCATTATCGTCGGCGTAGTTCCTTGAAATTTCTAAAGGTATTAAATAGAATATTCTACCACGTAACGCGATTATTTCAAGAATTTCTTAATTGTCATATTCGAACATTTATTTTACAACTTTAATCGTTCTTCTAATTATCCCACATTTTCCGCCTCACCTTTGACCTTATTCAGTACCTTTTCTTTCGTATCGAAAAAGGGAGAAAGACGTGACAGATTCATTCTCGTGTCACGAAACGGATTTCGCCCGCTTTGTCATTGCTTCGTGATTTTTGGCGTCGCGAGAACTATACTTCGACGATCATGTCATAAATATACGTCGACAGCCGTTGTTTGAGGTCACGAGTCGAAGGTGAGACACAATGTGACGGAGCTTTTAATTTCCGCCGGCGACCTTGAGCAAAGAAATCGTAAATTTTCTCTAGCTATGTGTCTCACCCGGGCGTGGCACTCTTCAGAGGCAAGAACAAATAGTTTCCTATGAATAAGACAAAGAGTCAAAGTTTTCTCGGTTTTGTCCGAGTGCCAAGGCTCTGACTCTCGACATCTGTCTCGTAACTTTTCCACGGCAATCATAGTGAGAATTGTAGCAACGTTTCGTGCTTTTTTTTTAATAGTTAGTTGTAGTTATTCTATAGTGGTTCGTTTGTTAACTCGTTGATTTATTAGAAAACGATGCACGATTTGGAGTCAGTTTGTTTATTATTTAATAAATGGCAGGTTGTGATTAATTTAACCATTTCAACGGAGTATGAGAAATTTCATTTATCGCTGGTTTCCTCTTTTGTTCAGTTCAACAATCGTGCTGTGTAAAATCCTACTTTCAGTGTTTAATAATACTGAGATTTGTAAGATTTGTAAGTTATTAAAATGCTTATTTTTTTATTTCCATCGGTTTATTGTTAGTATTTTTATTCTCATTTTTATTTTTCGTTATTAATCGTGCACTGGACTTTAGTATGCGGAAAAGTTACCTAGGTTAGTGGTTAAGGGTTAAAATTCACGTCGTCGATGTAGGGTAATTCACCTAACTTGACGATTGGAAATTACTCATGAACTGTTAGCTGTAAGAAAAAGTTTACGAAGCAAATATATTATATACAAAATTATATACAAAATAAATTATATACAAAATTTCGAAGGTTTCCTTGACGATTTTTAACGAAGCACTCTGTACTTCCTCGCGAAAATTAAAAGGACATTAAAGGTCCTCCTTGAAGTGAGCAACTTTTGCTGCACACGCTTCTTCATCCAACGAATATTTTACGAATATTTTTAAAAAATTAAAATTCATAGAGAACAATATCTTTGTCTCTCAAAAATCGATCCATGTATAGTATTTCCCTATCCCGCTGCTTCAATTTTTAACACAGAGTGCCACTACGATTTGAAATTTATTCCCCCATCCGAAGCTCGTCAATGCCTTTTTTTCGTTGTTTTTCCGACGTGTTCCCTGAATGTTCCAAGAGCCGGGCCACTTTGCATACGCCCTGGATAGCAGCATACGTGAAAGCTCGGCGAGCCAGTGGCCTGTAATCAATTTGCTTTCGCTCGACATTCAGATGTAGCAAATACGTTTCTTTTTTCACGGAAGGCCAAGTTCTGCCGGGAACTGCCAAGTATATTTACGGGAAATTTCAAGATCCGAGATGCTTGGAACGTTTGCCTGTTCGCGTAGCCTGCAATTCGTAATTAGTATACCGGTCGAACCACGAGCCACTTGTGCCTGAAAATTAAACCGAATCGCTGATATACTCTCCGTACGAGCACAGGAGTTTGGAAGGTTCTTTGACACGAGTCCCGAGAGCCTGTTTCGTTGAAGGAGATTGTGCTGTTCTTTGATCGTTTCACGAATGAAGCAAAGGGTGATTGAATATGTCGAGTAGGTTAAAGTTTCTGTAGGAAGTAAGTGGATGAGAGTAACCGGAATGATCGAGCTTTATGTGGTATTAAATGAAATTCATCGATTTAATTCCGGCGATACCGTAAATGCAGATTTTTCGTAGACTCGTTGGTGAGCAATTTTTGTACCATTTATATTACCATCGGGGACTTGACAAGTCAAACCATAAAGAATTTCGTGAATGAAGGAAAGGATGGTTGAAAATGTCGAGTAGGTTGAATATCCTGTGAGAAGTAAATGGACGAAAGTATTAGGAATGATTGAGTTTGATTCTCGCGATGTCATGAATTCAGGATTTTTCACGTGCTCGTTACTAATGAATTTTTCTATTAAATTACCATCGTGAACTTAGTAAATAGGTAAAACTAGAGAATATCGATGTACAAAGTTCCTCGATTAATTCGAGGAAATATCGAAAAATTTCTAATTTTCAAATATCACAAATATTTTTCAATTGTGCAATCAACGTATTCAAACGAACAAACACACACACAAAGTTGTTACGATATCACTGTCGTTTAAAAAAAAAATTAACACAACGTCGTAAGCAAATTTTAATGTACAAGCTGACGAATAAAGGAACGCCGAGGATATTGAAATCGATAGAGGTAATAAAAAAAAAAAAAAATATTTCGTTCGCGTTGCAGAATGGACCATGAAGGGGCGCAGTGCAAACTGGTAGTAGACGAGCGGTCGTCCTCTCGGTTGGTGCCTCGACGGTCATCGACGGGATCCTGCAACGCTCAATCGTTCATCCTGCAGGTGTTGCGCACAGCAGGTACGAGGTCGACAGGTGCAATAATCGGGGGTGACCCGGTTGTTGCCGCCGGGGCGGCGATGCGACGATGAGCTCGCTGAGGATACTGCTTTCCCTCTACACCCGACCAGAGGTTAGTAGCAATATTATTCGTTCGGTTTTCCTTCACTATTCACGTACCCGCTTATCTATTGTTATCTTACACAATTGTTTTTTCGCCTGTTTTTCATTGCTGGAGTTTACGGTGTAGTTTTTTAATAAGATAAAATAATTCTAAGGATTTATTTTTGAAATTCTGTGGTTGTAGACATATTCGAGTATATTTATGTCGTTTGACCTTTTTTTGAAATTATGTTTAATTTGTTTACTTTTTAAATCACTCAAATTTTCTTTCAGTTTTTAGTGTTTTTCGGTGCATAGTAATATTTTCTAAATGCTTCTGATCGTAATATTATACTTCAATATTTTACTATACCAATCTTCCACATTTTGATTATATTTTATAAGTTGTTTTCTTATGGTAGAATCAAATATTAAGTGTGCCAACGAACAATCCACTTGTTTTGTCAAATTTTACATTTATTTTTATTCTGTTTGTTGAGTTATACTTAATGGTTCTGCAAAGTTCTTCAAAGATTCCCGTCGATTTTCACGATAGTTAACCCTTTAATTTCCATATTACTTAACAATTGCACAAAACATCCCTTCGTACTTTGCGCATATTACGCGAGGACAAGGAACAAGTGTCGAGATATTTTCAATTTAAATGACATTTCTAACTTGTCACAAAAAGTACCGAATTACTTTATCGGCACACCTAACATTCCACACGCGAGAAAAGTGCCACAAGTTGAGAAACGGAAATGTTGAAGGAGAACGGAAAGAAAATTTCCCCGTGAAAAATACTAAATTACAAAATTGAGAGGCATACGACAACTAAAATTTACCCACATCGATATTACTATTGCACTCCAACTTCTGATATTTCTTCCGACGATAAATCAATGTATCGGGAAGATGAAATGAAAAATTTTTCACTTGTGATACTTCTCGATACAGTTCTACCTGACATAAACGTGCTCTTGTTCACGCTAAATTTGCGAAAATTAAGGAATCACATTCCGAACTGTCCGAATGAGATTCTGACAACTATTTTCGCAGCCCCGAGTAGTAGCAAGGCCGGGTCGCCTCGCGAGCTGTTGCAAGGTCGAGCACAGAGGAGCGGAAGCTGGTTCAAGGCCGAAATTAGTCGCTTGGCCATGGACCTCGAAGCGAGGAACGGGACTGGCGGCAACGACGACAAGGAATACACGAATATTTACTTCATCGTTGGCGATCGCAGGGAGACGGCCACCTACAAAACGGATCAGGTCACGGATATGGAGCTTAAGGGCAAGTCCATTTAATTAATTGACCCTTTTAATAGAACACGGATGTCGGTTTGCTGAAATGTTTTCGTAGACGTCGCTCTACGAGCATTGAACTGCTCGACACACGCTGTAGTAGCTTCTGAATTGCGATCATTTTTGGAAATGTTGGTCTAGAAGAGCGGCGAACGATTTTGCAGAAATTGAATGCAGCAGTTGATCGATATGCCGTTGTTTCTAGTTATTTTGTAGCATAAATTGTTATTAGCACACGATGATTCTGAAAATTGATCGATTTTCCTGCTCTTAATTATTTTCGTTAATCTGCAGAAAATCAAAATTTTTATTTATCCGTATTTTAGTACGTTAGTACGTTAGAGAAATGAAATAAAAAGTAGCAATTTTTCATTTGTTTACACAGTCAATTTCAGCGTTGAAAAATATAAAATTCGTCAATTTACGGGTATGCTTCTATCTTTCATAATTGTCGAGATATTAAACGAAATATGTTTACTATCCCAAACTTTGAGGGTGATTTTCATCCCTTCGCTGTTCAAAATCACCAATAAAAAGAAAAGGTGTCGAATATATTTCTGAGTACTACTGTTTACCAAAGTTTCATCAAAGTCGGTGATTATCACTTCAGAATGTTCCCTTATCAGTGTAAGAAACACATATTGCTTTCAATCTTCTATTAATTCAAGCTGAATAATAGAAAGCTTCGAAAAAAGCTATCGAGGGTCATAACTTAAACACAGATAACAATCTCCGACAATCGAACAGTTAACAAGTGGTTATTTCAAACGCACGTTCGAAAATGGAGAAATATTTCAGAGAAATTCACCGGTTCTCGGTTTGCTTTCGATTGGATCTTTTCATCGGAGGGACGACGACAGCTATCGAGGCACTTCTCTCGATCTTTATCGCGAGATTCCTCGATGCATCTCTAGGAATACTTGATATTTGTCGAATCCGCTCAATTATCGATCCGCGAGCTTCTCCAATGGCATAAGCAATCCTGTCTTCTAAGTAATCTTCCGAGTAATCTCGAACGAAATCTTCCCTTAACACCGCTGCCGTCTCGTCTTTTCACTCCCGCGAACGATATGAAAGGGTCTGTAAGCACTACCGAAATTATGTTTGCACACACTTCGAACCGTGACCTATCGACCGGACGAAGCCGCCCCGAAAATTACCTTCGAGGGGCTGACTTGCCAATCAAGCCTGTTTCATCCTCTCCTGTGCACCAGGCGACAGAGTAAACAGGGATTTATGCCTGCGTGCCTGCCTGGGCCAACACGTCAGACGAATTTTCGGATATACCGGGTCTAGGGTATTTCCACGGTCCACCAAACGTCTATTTAAGCTTCTTATTTATTTACCTTGCAGCTTATTTATGTTTTCTGCGTCCCTGTGTGTACTCGAAATTTTCAAGTCATTTGAGGGTTCCAAAATTACTCTCAGGCGTATTGTATGTTTATTACACGGTTAAAATGAGGAGTTATTTAGGAGATTTAGTAGAAATACTAGAGAGAAGCTAACGATGTGATGGTTGTTACGAATTTTAGTGATTATTCTTTTAAATATTGAATTTTGCCACCTTTACCCTTTCGTGACCAGTGGAATGTCCCATTTGAGTACTCGAACAAAAATTGATCTTAATTTAGTATCCGTTGCAGATGAGACGATTGGTAGATGAATAACAAATTAAAAAAATTAATAATTCGGTAACGAAAGGGTTAAAGTGAGAGTTGCTTTTGCGAACGTTCTGTGATTATTTATATTTTGTGTGAATATTTTTTAAAAGGTTCCTCTGAAAATTAGCGTATCCTATTGATTCTCGAGTGAGTGAGCTTTTTGCTCGATTTGAAAGATACGTTCGTGTTGAAATTTAGAAAAATTACTGAAAAGTAAAAATTAATGTTTGTCGTAATGTAAACATTTTCTGAAAACTAATTTTCTCATGAGTTAATTCGCAACAGCAGTTTCCGCTCTTATAAATGTTACAAAGTAGACCCGATGTCTCTGCGTATATTCTAGACCGGAGCGGGGTATCGTTGCAAATTTAATTATCCATGGTAAGGGATTTTAATTTCAGCTAGAACCCTTTCAGACATTATTTTCCCGCAATATTTTTCCTCGAGGTTGCTATAAAATTCGATTGGAGAAACCTTGGAGAAATTACGAAGACTTCCGCGTAAAGAGGGTTGCTGAACGAATGTTCCCTGACTGCATACGAAGGACACGGAGAAATTACGTGCACTTTTACACATTTCACGTTAAACAGATAAACAAAGTGTGTAAAATAATCCAGAGAAGTGGTAAGTTCCAATTACATTAAAAACAACGAATGCTACTTGAACACGTTGAGTTACCTGTTTATGTGGTAAATATCCTTATCATCGTACGCAAAACGTAGTATCAAATGCAATTTCGAGATTCAACGGACCCGCAACAGTCTGTGTTCCGTTTGAAATCTCCACGTCCCAAGAGACGTCTTTCCTTGATTTTCGTTGACCTGTTCTAAGAAACGCGAAGAATGCTCTTAGTTAGTCAAGGAACCGTTATTGACTTACTGCACAAATGGATAACCTTCGTTCTTTTTTCTTCTTCTTCTTCTCCTCGTTAAGATTGCATTCTCTTTGCAAAAGAGCTTGGTCGTGGCAAAGGGGGATACGTTCTTTCCCCCTTTGAGATCCTACGAAACTCATTTCGCCGGTAATGGAAATTATGAGAGTTTGCCGGCGGCGATGTTAGAAACCGCATCGTACCGAGAATTTCGTTAATTCCAGAAGGACTTGCTTGGCCATGATGATCGCGTGAACATCCTGAAATGTTTCCTGGTAGCAGCAGCCTAGCGTGTTTCATCTCCTACTCGTTGAATTATGAAAATTAGCCCGACACGAGTGCATCGTCGGAGTCGATTTTCCGCATGTTTGCACATTACCGTTTCGATCTACTTAAACCATGTGCAACTTGATACAGTATTTCACAACACACACACACACTGTTTCACGTACCGTTTCGATCTACTTAAACCATGTGCAACTTGATACAGTATTTCACAACACACACACACACACTGTTTCACATGTTGTTGTTAATTTCAAAGTGTTGCACGATTTCCCGTGTCTCTGTGAAGTTGATATTGTGGATGTCTGATCATTGTTACTGTAATCTACTGAATGCAATTGTGTTGAAGAGTAACGTGATCTATTTGTGCACAGTGATTGTATAAATAGTAGGTAATATTAGTTTCCTGGTTGCTGGTAACACGATTTATTAGAAAAATTACTTCTATTTTAGTAAGACGTAGAATTACTTCTATGGAAACAGTTTTCGTAATCCTTGACTATTACTACTGCAATTCACTCGTACAGAAAAGTGACTGAATCGTTCGGAATTTAATGTTGATTTTAATTTTTACAGTTGATGTTCCCGGTTTCTATTATCGCTTCTATTATCACTAGAAGGTTTCCGTAACTTTTAATCTTTCGCCTAGTTTAACGCAAGACTTCTTCCTTATTCGATTATCGCTGAGATAATCACTTCAATCACGTGAAATTTAATAGTCTCCCTCATTTCCCGTTTCCATCTGTTGGTGTACTTCTGTTTGACAATTTCACAAATTCGTACCGAATTTTACATCGATTCCACAGATCGATACTTCAAACGTACCTTGAAATTTTCTGACAAAACATAGTCGTCTTCTCGTCTCACAACAAAATTCCACTTTTTTAACGGAAATAGAACTTGTTTGATTTTTCGTTGAAAGATTTTTCGCCTTCGAACTTACAGGATGGCCGGATATTTAAATTCTTCTCCGGCGTCTGACTATTCGCTGTCTCGTACTACTTGGACGGTGCACCGTTCAAATGCAACGTCTCGCCGCTTGATCCCCGGAGTTAACCATATTCCTAACATGATTAATTAAATGACGTTTCGGTGTCTGTTTAAAACCGTTTACAGGTAATTGCCGCATTATGAATTACGACAGGCGAACTCGTGTCAGAGTGCATCGCGTAATTAGGGATACTAATGGCATTAGAATTTATGCAGGCTTGCAGGCTAGTTAACGGAAATTGCTTTGCCGCCAATATCATTACGAGGAATTGGCGACATTACA